TATGTGAATAAATTCCTCCTGCTGATTGCATCCAGTGACTCGCGTGTTCCATTCTGGGTTGGGGTCTCGGGGGTCTTTCAATCATAGGTGTTTTTTTTTTTTAATTATGAAAGCAATGAGAAATTGTTTTCCCAGAAGTATTTTTCAAAAGATTTTGTTTAAGAAAAAACAAAAAAACACACATCTATTCACTGGTCCAAAGTTATATTCCGCAATTCTTCTGGGAATTTTAGGACTGTAAATTTACTTTGCATTTTGGCAATAGCCACTTTCTGTGCACTCTCTCTCTGGAGGCTAGTACTGTTACTTAGACCCAGAGCAGCTCAGGAATTCTATTAGTTCTGATTAACTCCTCCTCTTAGAGTAAGAAGAAATTTGGGCAGCCCTAGCAGACTTTTAGGCTTTCATAGAAGAGGTCTGTATTTCTGGAAAGGAGAGAAAAGAAAATCAGATAGACAGACAAGTAGATAGATAAAAGACAAACTGATGGTTAGACAGAGAGATGACATGGATAGAGAGTAAGAGAGTGACAGAGAGTAAGAGAGCAACAGAGAGAAACAGAGAGATACTCAAAGTCTCAAAAGAGACATTAAGGAAAGAAGCACAAATGTATCAGAGTAATTAATAAGTCAATAATCTGCTTCCCCACCATTATCCTGGACCAGTGGCTACAGAACAATAATTAACTCTTTTTTTCTGCAATGGATGGGTTAGGATTTGAGTCATAAAGAAAAAACACATAATAAAAAAACAAATAAAAATTAAAAAAAATGTTCTGTTTATATTGGCAGATAGACTCAGAATCCAAATATGTTGTTGAAAATTTATTAGAAAGTTTAAGGAAGTAAAAATACATTACTTCCTTAAACTTTCTAATAAATTTTCATTATACATTATATATGCACATGTGAGAATACATACACAAATATTTATATGTATGTACACATACATATTTATGCATGTATATATACACATACACATATATGTATCACTTACATTCTGATTAATATAAATTTACTTAAAGTACCTGCAAAGCTACAATGTATGTAGACTTAAAAACATCTTCACTGAAATTCAGTTAACCTCCCTTCTGTGAAACAAAATATCTATACAACAAATATTATTGCTATGTTTTAGATATGTTTTAATTTTATACCTCAAAGTTTCATTTGTTGGAGGTTTGTTCCCCAGGGTGGTGTTTTTAGTAGATGGTAGCACTTTTTCTTAAAAATGTGCTTTATTGATACATGATAGTTATACATAATAGTAGGTTTCATTTTGGTACAATCATATATGCATGGCACATAATTCACTCCATTTCAGTTCCTAGTGCCTCCCTTTTCCTCTTCTCCCTCATCACCATTACTTACTGGTGCACAGAAAGTATCCCCAGGCTATCCAGAGTCCAAGTTCTTCTTCTTCTCTTTCTTTGGTACTGGGGAGTGATACCAGAAGGCTTTACCACTGAACCACATCCCCAGTCCTTTCATTTTTTTTTCTTTTTGAGTTAGGGTCTCACTACATTACTTAGAGTCTTGCTTATCCTCCTGCCTCAGTATCCTGAGCTTCTGAGATTACAGGTGAGCTCCACCAGGCCTGGCCATGATCCACATTCTTGACAACCCAGAAAAAAGAACTGAGAGAGATGTGAGAGATTGGCAAGCAGGAAAATAGGTTTATTAACACTTTGGGATTTCAGAGTGGGCTGAGCTGCAAAGTAGCTCTAAGCATGGTAAACATAATGGTGCTCACCTTTATTAGGCCATGGTAGTTCTTCCCTTCTCAGTTGGAAGGAGGTGATTTAGGGTTGACTGCCACCTTGTTTGACTAAAGAATTTGAAAAAATTTCTTCTCCACTGCCCACGCATGTTTCCCCCCCCTCTGGAAAATGCAGAGAGGAGGAGCCATCCTCCATGCTAATGATATGTTACCTAGCAACAACTTAACTTTAACACAGTACAGAGGGCTATAAGCCCAATATGGGGGTTTTCCTGTAGGATCTTGAATTCCCCTTGTGGTCATCTTGCTTCTTTCACTGAACCAGAAGATGGCCCAGTTTCTCCCCATAGGAAGATGTTAAGTGGGCTGAGGGACCATACCCCTCCCCATGCTCTATCTCCTAACACCTCCCCTGCTCTCCTTTCTCTCTTCTGCAGTCTCCCTGTCAACCAGGAAATTAAAGTTCATCATTAGGTCTATAATATGGTTTTGACTATGGAAGAAGACGTTGGGGAAAAGGTTTCCCCAAGGTCATTATCATTTTACTGCATTCTCCTTAAGGAGGGCT